ATCGAGGAAAAGGGCACCTGGCTACACACAGCAACGATGGGCGATCCCTGCTTCATGGTCATCCGGAATGGCAAGCGATTCTACCGCTCCACGCCTAGTTATGCGCAGTTCAACGAGCCTAACCACTTCAGCGGCTCAGGTGCGTCCCGTCACTAGATGGGCATTCATTTGACGAAAGGACGCGTCTCACCTGACTCTGATGGAATGCAGTCATCACCTTTGCCATGGACCCGAGCATCAAGCACAACTCCGTCAAGTACGGCAACCCGCCGCACGTGTATGATGAACAAAGGAGATGATCTCATTTTGGTTTGGCAGGCTCCTGAAGGGCGACATCATCGTAGTGGGCACAAATGGGTTGTTTGACAACGTCTGGGACGACGAGATCGTCGAAGTTGTCAACCGAACGATCGAGAATACCAAAGTTGATGAGGAAACAGCAGCGGCTTATCCTCTCGGTAGGGATCGCCCCCATCTTTCGGTTGTTAGTTGAGGAGCTCACTGTTCTCCTTCTCTGTGGCGCAGAGGGAATGATCGATCCGGAGATCATCGCCGAAGCCTTGGTGAAGCAGGCTACCGCCAACTCGACCAATTTGGAAAAGAAGTCTCCATTTGCTGAATACGCGGAGAAGGAGGGGTACATCTACATAGGCGGCAGAGAGGACGACGTCACCGCCGTAGTGTCCTACGTGGTGCCGCAGAAGAACTGAGCAAACAAAAGAAATTAAAATTTAATTAAAAAGGCGCCAAAGGGACTTCACACTTTCGCGCGCTTTTTGGCTGTCCCAGTCGCAGAAAGAAGAATCGAGGTGTAGAGGACGACGCCATTCGACGAGGATGTGGCTCACCGAGGTCATAATCGATGGCTTCAAGTCGTATGCGGCCCGTGAGGTCGTTTCCGGATTCGACATGTCCTTCAACGCCATCACAGGCCTTAATGGCACGGGAAAATCGAACATCTTGGATGCCATCTGCTTCGTGCTCGGCATTACCAACTTGACGCAGGTGGGTTACAACTTCATGCACTTGCTTGGTCCTGATAGCACGTACTCAATTTTCCCTTCGAATGTTCAATTTTTGCAGGTTCGAGTGAGCAATTTGCAGCAGCTCGTCTACAAGCAAGGCCAAGCGGGCGTCACCAAGGCGAGCGTAACGTTGGTCTTCAACAATGAAGATAAAGAGAGGAGCCCCATCGGATATCAACAGTTCAACACCATCACCATTACTCGCCAGGTGTGTAAACTCTCTTCCACAGAGGAGCAGCCAGGTGCTGGTGCTGACTGTCAGTTTCCTCTGAGCAAGGTGGTGATCGGTGGCCGCAACAAGTACTTGATCAATGGGCACAACGCGCGAGGCAACCAGATCCAGACCCTCTTCCACTCAGTGCAGCTCAACGTTAACAACCCTCACTTCCTCATCATGCAAGGCAAGATCACCCAGGTGCTCAACATGAAGCCT